CCAATGAATTAATACTTGGTGTCTAATTTTTTAAAATTAACTAGAGGATTAGTTGCTGATTGACTGGTGACAAATTGTCCAATACATTTACAATTCTTCGTCAACTGGTATTAAATTTCTTATTACAATTTTGCAAACTTGTAATTATAACAGTTGGCATTTAAATAGATCTTTCAAAATAGTCGTGTTCGGTATAAGATGATCAGTCTTTTTTTGAAGTATAAAATTACTTTCAACCCCCAAATAATGTTATAGACTCGAAAGCGACAATAATTCTTATTTTATAATTACATAAATTGAAGATATTTAATTTTATTTTGAATTTTTCATTTTCACCAATGGACATTTGTAATGAAACTTCAAGCAATATTTAGCAACAAAAGCTTCTATCATTCTCAGTATCTAATGGAGTTGAACAACCATTCGAGAAATATAAATTTAAAGTAAGAAACCAAAATTATATTTTTTTAATAATAGTATATATACAGAGAAGGACAGATAATGTGCACTTTACTTCACGATTCAGAATTACTTTCACACAGATATTAATAATGCATTTGAAGTAAAATGTGTGATTTAAAAATGGTAGGTAATACTAACATACTTCATGTAAAATCATATTATTGAATAATAAAGATAAGAAAGGACATATGTCACATTCAACTACTATAGTCTATAATGATTTTTTAAACATTTATTTCTATTAGATTTGAATTACCAGTACGGATGGAACCGTACGATAATGAAGTACGTAGGTATATGGCCAGAAGAGAGGAAATGGAACAGACCTTCGAGTTATATTGTTCTGTTACCGTTTCTCTCAATGCTGTGTTTCGTGTCTGTTCCACAAACCATGAATCTGCCGCGCATCGCACATGATCTGGATCTTGTAGTTGAGAATTTATCGATGACTAACGTCACTGTCACGATGTCGCTAATGAAGACCGTGGCTTTTTGGATGAATGGCAAAAGTAAGAATCTCATGATACCACATAAACTATATCCAATTTTATCTCAAGATAGAATCTATCATAATTGTCTAACAGAGATTATAGACAATTGCAACTTCATATATTTTCACTTTTTTTCAAACAAATTTAATGTCACAAAAAATACATCTCGTATACGATTGCCAGATTTCTGAAATCTCAGCTTCCAGATGAACATTGCATTTAGATGAATATTTAGTGAAAAATGTAATTAACAAACTGAATACATTTTTACAAATAGTAGGAAAAATTTTACGATTACATGAAACAGATTTTCAAATTATATTCTATCCGTCATTTCTATTCGTTTGTTAAGCTCTGAAGTCTCTGCTGCAGTGCATAGCCAACGATTGGGCTACAGTGGACTCGAAAATCGGACGTGAAACAATGATGGACATCGCGAGGATGACAAGAAAGATCATAATAGGATGTTCAATGATATGCCAATTAGTCCTCGCTTTTTATCTGATTCTACGATTATTTTTCATGAAGTACGACGATAACAAAATGTTCATACGTGGCTATTATCCCTACAATACAACCGTAAGCCCAAATTATGAATTGACTATGATTGGTCAAGCTATAGCTGGCGTGTATAGCAGCGCCATATATTCATCTGTGGATACTTTTATCGCCATGCTAGTTTTACATGCCTGTGGACAGATTTCAAATCTAAAGAACGAGTTAAGGGAAATCTCGCATGGAAAGACTGATTTACAGACGAGGTTGAAAAAAATCGTTCAAAAACATAATTACATCACTAGGTTTGTACTGAAAAAGAAATTATTAATTAAGATGATATTGTAATAGGTCGAATTATAAAAGAGCTAAAACATAATTTGCAAAATTTAAATCTTTTTATGTTAATATGATATTCTTTTCACTTCAATTTAAATATGAATAATGAATAACTGTTTTACTATTCCAAAGTATTTCAAACTTATTTTTTTATTTGAAATTTAGTAACTATTATGCAAAATTATTATCAAATCATTATTATTTACATATTATTATCTAGATTGCATTAACTTACGTACTTAAAGGTTGATTTCATCTATAACTGATGAAGACTCATAAGTAAATTCTAATATTTATAAGGTTCGCTGAAACGGTAGAGAAAAGTTTCAATATGATGCTTCTGGTTCAAATGCTTGGTTGCATCGTTCAACTATGCTTCCAGTCTTTCCAAGCTATCACGGTATGATGAGAATCATACAATTTATAAAATCTACATTTGTACAAACAAAAAATATTACAAAGCAATTCATCTTTTCCAATATAATTTAATTTTTAGTCAGTTGGAGAGAAGAATAAACGATATGTAATTTTTCAAATTGCATTCCTGTGTTACTATGTAATTTGTGTGTTGGTGCAATTGCTCCTGTACTGCTACGTGGGCGAAAGACTTACGTTTGAAGTATGTTTTAAAGAACAACTTATTCAATTGAAGATATTTTAGATGATTTTTTGATAAACATTTGGATTTTACTATCTGGATAGCGGTTCATTAATAACTTAAATATACATTAAAGTCTGTAATTTTTCAGAGTACAGATATAACTAAAACAGCATATCATTGTGAATGGTACAATCTACCACCTGATATCGCAAGACTGCTTATTATTATTATGTGTCGAGCGAGAGCATCACCACTGAAACTGACAGCAGGCAAATTTTGTTACTTCACTATACTATTATACTCCCAGGTAAGTAAAAACGAATTTCAATACAATATATGGGACAGAATTTTCAATAAAATCTTCCTACATAAATGGCGATGCGATTATAAATTACAATGCATCTAATTTAAGCGATGAATATTTGTAATTTGTAATATAATACAAATTACAAATATTTAAAATTTTTACACAACAGTTAGAATCACATGAAATATGTTAAGTATTCTTGAAAAATTATAAAATTGAAGTACTTATAATCATGTGCCGTAGCTCACGAAAGTATACGAACAGTCACACAGAAATTCGTATATGTATATTATTATTCTGTATTATATAAAGTATTTGGAAATTTTAAGAACATGGCAAAGAAATACAAATTTCATGATTATATTAAAACTAGTATAAAATATGTACATAGAGAAATTTATGCATTTATTTTATGTATTATTTAGTTTAAGAATTTAATAAGAATTAAAGGAAGACATTAATATAAAAAATCTGATTCTTGAAATATTTTTAAAATCTCTATGAAAGATACATTCGTATTAATTATCTAGTAATTTTTATATTTGCTTCATACTCCAACCAATATAATCATGATATCTTATCTCATTAGAGTCAATAAAATTTCAAAATGTTCCATATAATACACGCGATATATTCATAAAAATTTCCTATAAATCGTTCCAATAGTTTCAGGGGAAATGTTTTCGTACATTCATTTCAGGTTGTGAGAACCGCCGTGTCGTATATTTCTGTTCTATACGCAGTAAAAAGTTAAAAGAAATGTAATCTTACAATTATGATTCTCCTATTTTACGACTGCTCATAACGTCGATGGGACAAATATTACAGCAGAAATCATTTATCTCTAAATAGTAAAATATATTACGTAGAAATAAAAAAAATAAAATATCGTGAGCAATTGCAAATCTAATAAACCTATTGAATGATAAAAGGATTACTCGCAAAATCTCGAAAATACCTTTCCTTTCTTTTACTTCTTGATAGTTTCTCGTTTCATCGATACTTTAACTTAA